AGACAATGAAACATTTCTAAATCACAAAGGCTACCATTATTTGATAAAGGCATGGGTTGTAGAACTCTAGTTTCATATTTTTTTGTTGACAAAAAATCCAAGAATCAACAGATCCAAATGATGTAGTGATGCATACCGGTTCACTGGACTTGGATCCGGACTTATTACCATAAAAGACCATTTCACATACCCCTTTTCTTTCCAAACCACCTAAAACCTTCCGTAGATTGTAAACTCTTTGTTGCAAAACGAAGAAAACATTGCCATCGGGCATCGTCAAGTACCGGCCTCCTTGTTATGTGGCCAAAGTTTCACCGAGACAACATTGCAAGGTTGCCAACATGCAATTTTGTATATGCCATGGGTTTAGGTCCGGACCTGAACCAAACCTCTGGACTTGAATCCGGACCTGAACCTAAAATTGGGTTTAGGTATGCATCACTAAAATGGTGTGGCCTTATACAATGATGTGGCCTTATGCAAATACAGAGTGACTATTCTGTAAGATGTGATTTTATGTAACATCTGTGTCCATGATATCACCAGGGTCCATAATATCGCCACCTTGAGAAATAGTGTGTTTAATTTACTGCAACATACCTATAGGTATGTACATTTGAGGTGTGCAGGAGTGCATACCAAAAGTATGTTGCAGTAGAAATATCTTTAAGCACACTTTTTCTCAAGGTGGCGATATTATGGACCCTGGTGATATTATGGACACGGATGTTAATTACAGAGAAGACGGTTGTTATTTTGTATGCTGCATGGCAGGACTGACCTTGACATGTTCCTCCAGATGGCAAGACACGATAGCCTGTGGGGCAGCGACACTGGTAACTGCCCACTGTGTTGTGACATTCATGCTGACATTTGGACTTAGGACCTGCACATTCATCCACATCTAGAACATACAGAACAAAGGATTTTGTAGATGTGGGAGAAAAACATTATTACATTCATCTTGTCTTGTGGAGAAAGAAGAGAGGGGTAAAACATCAACAGGTTATCTACATGTATACTAGGCACAATATGTAAGCTTCTTCTTGGAATAGAAAAGGTTGATAGCATTAAACTGTGTTTTAAACTGTATTTTACATGTACATGTATATGCATATATTAATGTCTACCTACATAATATGCTGTACAACCACATACATGAAAGTTGGCACTGGATGGGATAATTGAAGACGGATACTGTTGTCTTACCTAAACATATTCCATCTACTTCCTGATAGCCTGCATCACAGCCTGACGTTGTAGTTATCACATTACTAATAAATAAATAAATATAAAATATAAGATTACAAACTGACATATAATGCTGAGGGTGAGACTGCTGTTGAGCTGAGGAAGCTGATCTGCTTCCTTATGTGGATGTTAACAATAAAACTGTTAATGCCCTTTATTTTCAACTAGAAAATTAGAATGGGTACGGATTATGAATTATAATTCAGTTGTTGAATATTATTGTATTCATGCAGCAATGGTCACAATTATCTTGTTTTATTACCAAGAAAACAAGCAATGAACTCTATAATGTTAAACAGAAGACTAAAAATTTTTCAAAGTGATTCAAAGTCAATTCTCTTTCCAAACCTACAACAGAGAAAGAGTAGGGAAACATCAGAGAAAAAAAAGTACCGCAATACATATAAGAAGTTCATAAGTTTACTTGTCTGTGTTATCTGGGTGCCAGAGGCCAGCACAAGATCGTCGGTCAGCCAACAACTCCTGACCAGATGGACACAGACATTTGTAGGATCCTGGCAGATTGCGGCATTTGTATGCACAGGGGCGTGGTTGGCGTTGACATTCATCCACATCTAAGAAAACAAGATGATGATGATATGTCACAATATGTTGGTCTCTTTAGCTTCGTGTGTCCTGTGGTCTGTACTTGCAAGACGACGTAGAAAAGAAAAGTGGCTACAAAAAATCCACGGGATCCCTGAATACATTTTTGTATTACATGTATTATCATAATATTCCTGCTATAAATAGATAGGTCAGTTGTTTGAGACTTTATAAATGTACATGTAGTATTACAGATTCTATATATTCAGAATAAACTAGAATTTGGTGATCTCATACCTCCATGACATATTTGGCACGAACAACGTATGATATTGTTGGTTGTATGCAAGCATGGCCTCTTACGTACCTTTGCCGAATCATGTTAGCCGTTCAAACTGACTAAATTAATAGGGGTCATTTGCATATATTATATCAGTTGATCATATTCTTCATGTGGAGTCGTGTGGCGCAACGGCAGCGTGCGCGACTCGGAATCAAGAGGTCCCGGGTTCGAGTCCTGACATGCCACCGATCTTGTGCCCTTGGGAAAGGCACTTTAAACGACTTTCCTGACTAGACTCAAGTGAAAATGAGTATTGTCTGTCCAGTATTCGTTTCTATGTGCGGAACACAACACCAGCAAGAGCTGCCTCTGTTCCGCATGTATTGCATTGTTGCAATTTCAATAAAAATAAAAAAATTAAAAAAATATTCTCCACACAATGACACCTTAAGAAATAAGGCTATTCTAGCATATCCTCACAAATTATGCAAATGAGGTCCTGATTTGAATATTATGTTTAGTGATGTTCACCTTCACTGAACTTCCAATTATGGTCTTGGACCAGAGTTTTTTTCACGATTTTGGATCCGGCGGACACCCTCAGATCGAAGGGCTATACAAGTGTAACTCCGCCAAGAAAAGTATGCCGGGAAATCTCATTATATCAGTCAACGGAGGTTTCCAGCTGGCTTCCGATAGAATTTTGGTTATTGTCCGTTGACTCTATAATTTGGGTAGAAAATGTAGTTAAACGCCAATTTTGGATACGAAAAATATAGTTTTTTCAACAGACCTGCTTGAAAAAAAACGAATTTTCCCAGGCTAACGGCTTATATGCTAAAATAGCTTACTAATTCCTGTTTCTGAAATACGGAAAAAAAAATAGGTTGTTGCGATTTTTTGCAGTTTTTTGCAAAATCCGGTGACGCGAATGGTTTGAAATTCCAAATAGAACGCAGCTATTTGGGTCATCAGGCGACAAATCGCATCACCCTTGCTCGCGGACTAATACCAAAAATGCTTCGCTGGCCATCCAACTTCACCACGCCAAAAGACACAACAATCCCAAGGTTTTTGGATCAATTCAAAACCTAGTTGAAAATCTAAAACGATCGCCGAGCTATGGGGAGCCAAACCTAGCGTGACAACCTCGCAGATCCAGCGATTTACTGCGCACTTACTTAGACTCTATCTGGTCAGATTTAAACTCCGACCCGGAACCTTATGGCAAGTATTGAATTCCCAGTGGTTACCAACATAAAATTATACCGATATACCATTAATTATGCAAATTAGGTCATCATTTACATAATCAATATCTGCCAATGATCTTGTCGCTCTCAACTACATATGTCACAAGTGTTTAATGATAGCCCTAATAAGGAATACAGCAGATTTATAGAATTTCCACATTAATTATGAAAATTAGATCCTGATTTGCGTAATTGTGTCAAGTATCACTTAAGCTACCTACATACCAAAAATCATAACCGCAAACGGTTGTTTAGTTATCCTCTCTGGGAGATTTTTCAAACAAATCATCCTGCAGTTAAAGAACAAGCTGCTAGGGGGCCCAAACTAACGTGACTTCTTCCCGAGGACAAGAGCTACCTACTATCTAAAATTCAAAATAATTTTCAAGAAATTCCTCTGCAGTTACAGAACAAGCTGCTAGGGGCCCAAACTCATTTCACTCCTTGCCAAGCACAAAAGCCATCTAGCATGCAAAATTTATGACCCTACCATGTTCAGATCAGTACCATATCAAGCCACCAGAGGGTCATTCGAGTTCTCATCAAGACCTACTTCCCACATACCAGTCTTTTCCAGCCATTCTGCAACCCTAAAATTCAGGGGAAGGGGTACCTGTGCAGGGGAAGCCTACTGCACGGGAGTGAAATCCTCTTGGACACACACATTTGTAGCCACCTTGGGTGTTTCGGCAAATTTGGTTAAATCTGCACTCTGTGACACCAGCTGAGCATTCATCTATGTCTGTAGTGGCAAAATGTTACATTTGTACATAGGGTAAAAGACTCTCACATGTACTAGTATACTAGAATCTTATGTTGCAATTATTTGTTGCTATCTCATGTCGCAACACATTTATTTGACATGCCAAGCCAATATAAATAATGTTGGATCTCAGAGCGGCTCAAATGATGGATTGAGAGAGCAAAAATGTGAATTCGTAAAAAATGTGTCATGTTTATCAAATAAATGTTTAATGTTAACTGCACAACCAATTATGGTGAATAAAAAAAGATGTACCTTGAGAGACTTAAACCTACCAATGCAGGATCCATTTGCAACTAGCTGGAAGCCTTTATTGCAGACAGGTCGACAAGTGAAACTGCCCAGGGTGTTGATACAACGATCTTCAGGGCTGCAAACCTCGGTGGGACCATTACATTCATCAATATCTGCAGGACATAGATGTACATCAGGTTAAGCCTACACGTTCAGGACCTACATTTGTATTTGCATAATTAAGGATAAAATCCTGTAATTACAATGTTTGACATAATAGTACTTTCATACAGACCAGAGATTATTTCATGATTCTTTATCCGGCAGACACCCTCAGACTGAAGGGCTACAAGCCAAGAAATAAAAGTATGCCAAGAAATCTCAGTATATTCAACTCACTACATATATTGAACAGAGGTTTCCAGCTGGCTTCCGATAGAATTTTAGGTATAATCTGTTGACTCCACAATTTGGGTAGAAACTGTAGTTATATGTAAATTTTAGATACGAAAAATATTAAGTAGTTTTTTCAACAGACCTGCTGGGAAAAACAATTTTCCCAGGGTAATGGCTTATATGCTGAAAAAGCTTACTAATTCATGCCCCTAGGATTGGTTTCATAGTTGGTGTGTTGGGAGGGTGTGATGAAAGCAGAAAATTATTAGATTTTGAGCCTCTGGTACTTTTTTTTACTGTAGTGGAACTTCTGGTTTTGAAATCTTGTTATCTGGACAAGCTACATGTACATGTATGGTCACGATTTTTGGGCAATAGACTTCTTCTCTACAAGATGTTTGGGGCCACTAGCAGCTTGTTCTGGAACTTCAGGGGTATTTTTGTTAAAAGAGGATAACTGATTAAAGAAAGGAACAATGAATGATTTTGGGGGTATTTTATGCATACATAATGTCCTATTTTCCATAATTTGTATTTCATAGTTTACATGATGTAAACAATTTACATGATGTTAACAATGAAATGAAAAATATGCAAAATAGGACACCATTTTGAATTCATAATTAGTGAATAATTTCTATGAAAGCCTTGCTCTGGACATGCTGTGGTCTGGATATTTGGGTGGCAAATACATGTAGATTTTAACACCAAGACAAAGTAATGCAAGTTTCAGCCTTCTAGCAGTTACATGTGCAATGGACTTTTGGAACTGCGGGGGCATTTTTGTAAAAATCTTGCAAAGACAATAACTAAAAAAGGAAGGACAGATTTTAATTACTTTGGGCATGCAGGTAGCTTTGACAATGACATACATGTACAACATAAGATGCAAGTTATTTAAAGTAGGAACTGATTTACATAATAAATGAGAAAACTGTTCTTCCAGTGTTTTCCAAAATATGCCTTTAATACAAAGTCAAATAGTGACTTTGAACTTCAGCAATCATCCCACACTTAAGATTACAAAATAGTTCCACCAGGAAAGGCAGGGCCTGCATTGTTACAAAACCTAGAGGTTATCCTGAAAATAAAGTAATATCTGATAGATTGTTAATTAATTTTCCGCCTTTTAAAACACCTTAATTCTCATGATGCTTGTTGTGCAATACAATTGACACTTTCTCTTGTTTTATGCAAAAAATGATCCCATTGGGACCCATAAATTATGGTTGGCACTTACTGGATTACCGGTATACATTTGTGCAATGTAAATGGTTCATTTCCTTGATAATCTGTTATGAAATTTTACAAATTCAGTTTGAATTAATAAAAATATGTGGTCTTTTAGAACATAACATTGGCCTCCACTGTTGTAGGTTGGAGTCCAGCCTTGTTACCTTAGTCTGCTCCCCAAGATCTGGACCAAACCTAATAAGACTACAATGTACAAATGTACTGCTATTGAGTCCCCTTTTAACTCATGACTTGCAACCAAGCTTGCAATGTCAATGGAGATCCACTCTTGTGTGCATGAATACCAAAGTCTGTAAAACTTGCATTAAAACTCTAACGTTATACATATACAGTCTGCATTGTGTAAATAAAAAAAAAAGCTCCAGTAACAGTCTTGAAGAAAAATAAACAATTTTTTTTATTCCAAAGTCATGAATAAATACCCACCGAGGTTACTTTTCTAATATACTGATCAAACAAAAATTTTCCCCACGGTGTCCACGGAAATGTAGTTTTTAACATCTAAAAGATTTCTGGTTTGCAGCTAGATGGGGATTTTGAGAAAATATGAGGAAATATTTATGTATTTGGGACTTACCAACACAAGTGTTCTTCCCAAGTAATCTGTACCCTTGATGACAGGAACATCTGAAGCTGCCCACAGTATTGATACACTCATGTTGACAAATAGATGGCACCTTCTCACACTCATTCAGGTCTGTCCAAAAAAGCGAAAGGTAGATGTTACAAAGCATGCTTCACTAGAAAACTGAGAACACATGCCTTTCCCAAGTAAATGTTTTTATTATGAAAAGTGCTTCTATAACAGGGGGGGGTGCCCTAATTCCGACCTACCCCTATAGCTAATTTTGTACTAGTTTGAAAAATCTTTGTTGCGGCGTTATGCATAGAAGCACGTGCCTAAAAATAACTACAAAGTTTTTGTGTTAATATTGGTACACATCAAGTGTACACATTAAACATCTATACATTTATTGATGTTCCCTCCTTTCATCAGTTTCTACTGCATGTGCACTACTACATGTACTTATTAATTACACTTCTTCTTTCACTAAAATCCACTTAACGGTAATCAAGCTCTAAGTCTAACCGTCACTGTAAGCTTTATTCAACAGCTGTAACGTTATTTATAAACTTCACTGTTCTAACATCAGGCAAAATGAAAAATTACAAAATACACACAAAAAAAGAAACACAAAAACTTAAAACTAGTCCAGCAACCTGTCACATTTGGAGACCACACAGCTCTGCCCGTATAAGGAGTGCACTGAAATCAATCTAAATTACACAGTTCTGGGTCAAACAAGCCTTGTCTTGTAACATTCTCATTTATATAATTAACATCTGCCGATGTTCATTTTCAATTACATGTATCACTAGCTTGAATAGTCCTAAGAAAGAACAAAGACAGATTAATAGAATTTCCTTTAATCATGCACATTACATCAT